AAGGGTACTGATGGAGGTAAAAGCTCTCTTTCTTCTTTCTTAATAGAGACCATTCAATGATCTTTTTAGGCTTTCTTATTTTGCTCGTCTTCAATTCTCAAAATATCCCCCAATCATTCCTGGTGCATTCAAAGGCTTTTCACACTTGGTGATTAATGTAATTTGCTTTCATTCTTACAGCCTATAGGACTGCGTGGGTGTAAAAAACACCTCTAAAATTCACCATCTGCATGCAGTGAGTCTTATCCTATTCCCCCCTCCTTTGTCTTCCCCTCTCATTCTGTCTCTCTGATGAGCTGGAGACAAAACATGCCGTGAGAGCTGCATAAAATAACCTTTTCTGATGGCCCCAAGAATCATCGTACTCCTTTCGGTTAACGTGTTAGACTCCAATTTTCTCTCAAAAGGTTTCTCTGTTCTTTTCTCAGAAGCAGCTCCTATTAATAAATACTTATTGGGCTGGCCTTGAGGACTGGTGGTTAAGGGAGCCCGATCCCACATGGCTGAATGTGCAGTTCAAATCTCAGCCCTGGTATATGTGTGTGCATGCCCAAAAGCTCAACAGAATATAGAATTGGAGGAGAAGGGATTGCACCATGACCTAGCCATTGGGGGCTGCTTTCTCTCTCCACCTCTCTGCTTTCTTTCCCTCCTTCTTTGTCTCTGGCAAGTGTATGTTCCCTCTGGCAAAATTTTTAAAAATTTTAATTAAGACAATCTCTGTTGAGCACAAACTGCTTTCTAAATACCATCCTGGGTACCAGAAATATAGAGATAAGAAAACTTGATTTTCATCCTAGAGTAACCAAAATCTAATGGAGAACATGCAATGTAAAGACATTCCTACAAGGGACCAGCAGTTAGCGTAATGGCTATGTCGCTGGACTCCCACGTAGTCGACCGCGGTTCGCGTCCCGGACCTCACACTGGGCGCATGTGCATGCGTGCCCAAGATCCCAAGAGGAGAAAGGAGGAGAAGGGATTGCGGAGGAGAAAGGAGGAGAAGGGATTGCGGCCCTGGGGGGGGGTGATTTCTCACTTTCTGTCTCTCTGTCTCTCCCTGTCTTCCTGGCGAGCGCACGGGCCCTATAGAAAAAAATGTCTCAAAAAAAAAAAAAAAAGAAGGAAAGAAATTCCTACAATACAATGGAACAGAGCTTTACGAGAAAAAGTTGAGTGGTGTGGGGAGGGATTATTCGTGGAGGATAAAATTGTGTTTTTATCTTCTACTATTTATGATTTTCTAGCCATTTGTGAATTTCCGCTTATTTTACTATTTGATATTTTTAAAAAATCTCTGTTTCAAAATGTATGTTATAACAAAAGAAGAGTCTTACAGATAAATATTGGATCATTGAGGAAGTCATGACACATTTTTGCATAGAAAAACATAGAAAATATATCATGACTTTCTCATGATATAATATAACCTGTTATTGTGTCAGCTGGGTTTGTGCAAGATACAGAAATCCAGGGAAGGGACCAGAAGGTGGCATGTTGGTTAAGGCACTGGACACTCTTATGTGGCCAACTGTGGTTCGAGTTCCAGACCTAGTGGCTTGCTTTCACATCTTCCCTCTCTCTCTGTGTCTCTCTCTGGTCAAATTAAAATAAATGAATGGATAAATAAAATTAAATAATTATTTTTTTTAAAAAAGAAAGAAATCTAGGGAAAGGAAGCTCTGGAGTGTTTGCAGAATTGCTGAGAGCAGAGATAAGGTTCGTACACACTACTTCATGCACATGTGTCTCGGGGTCCTCAAAGAAAAGACAAAATGGGGACCAGGGGACCAGCAGTTGGCATAAAGGCTATGTCGCTGGACTCCCATGTAGTCGACTGCAGTTCAAGTCCTGGACCCGGTGGCTTGAATTCATGCCCGGCGTGTGTGCGTGTGTGCCCAAGATCCCTGGAGGAGAAGTGATTGCAGCATGACCATCCCCCCTGGGGGGTGATTTCTCGCTTTCTGTCTCTCTGTCTCTCTCTCTGTCTTTCTGATGAGCACATGCGCCCTATAGCAAAAAAAAGAAACCTTTCAAAAAAAAAAAAAAAAGGGTGGGGGACCAGCAGTTTGTGTAATGGCTATGTCGCTGGACTCCCATGTAGTCGACCGCAGTTTGGTTCCCAGGCCTGATGGCTTAAGCTCATGCCTGGTGTATGTATGTGCATGCCGAAGATCCCAAGAGGAGAATGGAGGAAAAGGGATTATGGCATGGCCATCCCCCCTGGGGGGCGATTTCTCTCTTTCTGTCTCTGTCTTTCTCTCTCTTTCTGGCTAGCACATGCGCCCTATAGCAAAAACGTCTCCAAAAAAAAAAAAAGAAAGAAAAAAAGAAAAGAAAAAATGAGTCAGAATGAAAGTAGAGAGGGAAACCTCCTCTCCAGCCACAAAGAGACAGAAGCAAGATAGAGACCAGAAGGCTAGAGGAGTTTTGTCAAAGTGCCTTTCAAGAGAGCCGCAGAATCACACTCAGGTATAACTCGAGGTCTGCCTCCCTCTCAAGATGAAGCTTTTTGAGGAACTGAAAACGGGTGAGATCTTCCTAATACATTGTGACTTCCTATTAGGACCCTAAACTATAGGGAGGCTGAAACTCGTGTCTCAGAACTGCGAATGAACAAATAGGGATGTGTGTTTTCTGGGAAAGATCAGAGAACACAAAATCTCTTTTTGTCTTGAAAAGGTAATCAATCATGGGACCAGCAGTTAGCATAATGGCTATGTCGCTGGACTCCCACGTAGCCGACTGCGGTTCGCATCCCGGACCTGGTGGCTTAAACTCACGCCATGCACGTGTGCGTGCATGCCCAAGATCCTGAGAGGAGAATGGAGGAGGAGGGATTGTGGCGTAGCCATCCCCCCTGGGGGGTGATTTCTCGCTTTCTGTCTCTATGTCTCTCTGGCTGTCTGGTGAGCGCATGCGCCCTATAGCAAAAACCTCTCAAAAAAAAAAAAAAAAAAAAGGTAATCAATCAGGTTAAGGAAAAAAAAAAACAAACAGGAATGACTAGAGGACATACAGTGACACAGCAAAGTGTAACCCTGAGCAAGGCTGACCCGTGGGGAAAGGTTCCAGGTTCGTGTCCAGAGATCCTTCTGATCTGAGGACACACAGCACACACGTGCTCATTATCTGAGGTGGGCAGAAACTGTGGGTTGATTGCAGCACTAAGACCCTTTTGAGGGTACTTGCCTGTCTCTTTTTCATTCATGGAAGAAATAAATAACCTTCAAAGAAAAAGTATATAATTAACAACTTATTTATGAACTGAATGAATAGAATACTAGAAAGAATGTTCTAGAAAGTGTTTAAGGCCTTGGTTAAATTAACCTAAAAAAAAATTGGGACCAGCAGTTAGCATAATGGCTATGTCACTGAACTCCCATGAAGCTGACTGCGGTTCAAGTCCTGGACCCAGTGGCTTAAACTCACGCCAGGCACGTGTGCATGCGTGCACAAGATCCTGAGAGGAGAATGGAGGAGAAGGGATTGAGGCATGGCCATCCCCCCCTGCGGGGTGATTTCTCGATTTCTGTCTCTCTGTCTCTCTCTGTCTGTCTGGCGAGTGCAAGCGCCCTATAGCAAAAACCTCTCCCCCCCAAAATAAATAAATAAATAAAAATAAAAATAAAAAATCCACTGTCAGGTTGGAAGATATATAGAACCCAGTTGCCTCACTGTAGCTGAGGGGGTCCAACTTGAGAAGGCTTCCTCACAGCAGTTTGGTTTTTCAGGCAAACTGGTGACATATCTCTGGGAAAAGAGCCAGCAAGCTTAAGTAATTTAGTCATCAGAGGTGAGGGTGAGCCTGAACACATCAGTGGTCTGCTCCTTGGGGTCAGTGGGCATAGTGCTATTGTCAGTAACTGAAGTGGAAACGTAAGAGAGATTGTTTTACTGTAACTTGTGACAGGAGCGGCTGACCAGGGATGCGCACTAAAGAGCAGAGGAGGAAGATGCTTTACCTCTGCCACTGCTGCTCTGGCAGGGGGCGAGTCAGCTGTGGTGGGGGCAGTCACGGCCAGCCCAACTCGGGGCACTCTTCAGTCTCAGCCCTCCAGTTCCCAGGAGCACTTGCAGGGGTGGAGGCTCTGTGTGACCAGGAGGATGCAAGAGCCAGTGGGGCCTTGGGGAGTCTTTGATCCCTGGCTCTGTTTAACACAACATAGCAGCAAGGGCATTGCTGCAATACCTAACGGGGCTGAGTTGGATTTGGAAGGCGAGGAGGGCTGCAAGTTCAAGCAGTTCCAAGCAGTAGGAGCAGCAGGGCAGACCCATTGCCACACGCTGGCACTGAAAGCAGTAACTTCAGGCAGACACCGTTCAGTGGTAGCACCAGGGAATCCTTCTGTGAAACAGGTCAGAGCTCCCCTGAGCCATTTCCATAACTGTGCTCAGGAGAGCTCCGTGGAGGCCCCTTTCAGAGGTGGCCTCCCGTGACGGATTCGCACTTTCTCACTAGAGCATTCTATTTCGCACTTTCCCAAGGCGGGGCAGGCAATGCAGCTGCTGCTCCAGAAACTCCAGTGTTCTGGCACCCAAGGGACCTTGTCCAGTCTGTTTTATCGAGGTATTTCTACCCTGGCCATATCCTCACACTTTCTTGATTTCATACATCAATAATAAAAAAGAGGGGCGCATATACCCAATGTGCATTTACTTAGATAGACTCACCTCCTATCTAAGTAAATGTATTAGAAAGTATACAAGAGACAGAAATTTGAAAAGGACAAATGAAAAATAGGGTTAGAAGTTCTAATACTTTGCCCAGAGCCCCAGTGCAGTGTCTCCTGCATCCCTACAGGTACAAGAACCCACTTTGATGGACGGAGGAAGCCATAGCAACCAGCAGGGAGTGGCTAGCCAGACAGCCCACCTCAAACTGCGTCTGCCTTCAACACGGACATATCGGGAGCTTGGGGGCTGTCGGCTCAGTCTCTCCTAAAGCCGTCGTAAGTGAGACATCAATCAGTGGGGGAGTAGAGCATGATGGATCTTACCACAGCAGAATAACTTATCCTCTCTCCCATGCCAGAGGGTTAGCTGGTGTTCAACACATATAAATAGCCAAGTTTCTGACCTACAAACAGAAAAATGACAATGTTACGGTAACAGTTGTGAACTTGCTGGAAGAAATAGGAGGAGAAGGGTCATTGGACATATATTTCTCAAGTTCTTTTTTTTCTTTTTCTATTCCTTCCTGAAAGGTATTTTAATGACACTAATTGTATCCTCTATTAAGTACGTTATCTGACCCTCTATAATTAAAACGTGATTATTTCGGACAGATAAAGAAAACTGCTTTTCCTCTTGTTATTTTTGTAAGTATTCTCTCAGTTTAAAATTCACTCCCTTTAAAGCCAGTCTCAGGGCCGGCAGGTGGCGTGGTGGCTAAGGGGACTGGATTCCCACATGGCTGACCTCAGTTTGAGTCCCAGACCTGGTGGCTCATGCTCTCAGTTTCCCTCTTTCTCTCTTGCTCTGTCCCTCCCTGGTCAAAAATAAATAAATAAATAAAAAAGTATATAAGTAAAGTTAAATAAAATAATTAATAATAATAATAAAAATAGTGTCTAGTTTTGGACCATCCTATTAAGTGAAAACATTGACATCTTTTTAGATGTTTCCAAATCATCATGAATTCCTCCGCAGTTGGATCTGTTCTGGAGAACCGTGTGCACTCCTGCATGAACTTCGCCAATAGTACCCTGTCTGTTATTTTCAAGATAGCAGTAGGATTTTTAGAAAGGTTAAATTACCAGTAAGTTAATGGTCCTTCCTGTGTAAAGATCAAGTTCTGGGCATCTACCTAAGACATGGCCAAAATGTTATCTTTGCCAATAGCATGCTTACTGCGGATCACTCAGGTCGCCAAGTTCTCCAAAGACCACCAGGGGGCCGATTTCCATGTAAACACACAAGGGTCGCTTTTACTGAGCTGGAGCCAGGGCCTCCCACTGTCACCGACACAACGGATCAGAGCTGAGAGCCCCGTGTTAGTTGGGCTGGGTTTTTATTTGGTTGTTGGGGGGGAAATCAAGGGGTGCTGAGGAAAGCACTCAGGCGATAATAAATTGGTTATAGATTACAGGGAATGGAGCTGTCTCTGGCTGATTGATTATTAAGCTGTTGAGTTAGGCAAAAAGTTACTTTAGGTTTCCGGTATCTCCTTTGTTTCTTTTACTGGTCAGTCCCGGTGGGGTGATGGTCTCTTGACTGTTTCCTACGTGTCTGGTGTCTTTTTGAAATGGTGCTGTCCCTCAGTAAAGTGGGACAAAATGGAGTTGTGGGACAAAATGGAGTCGCTCTGGTTATGCTCTGGTCCTTCAATAATTGAAAGTCAGAAGATCTACCCTTGGATTTTACAGCAAAGTAGCTTGATAAATCACAATTTATTCACTGAACTGTAAGGTCCCTGATGGTATGATTTTATTAATTGATTGCTATCCTTTAACACCTAAAATTGTTTCCGGCACAGAGCGGGCACTTAGTGAATATACCTTTGAAATTAATGAACAAATTTAAGGAAGACAAAAAGACAAAATATTGTTGAAACCCACAACTAAATTTGCCCAAAGAACAAAGAAGAACGTCTTTAAGGGAAAAAATACAATTAAGATACACCATAATTTTAAAAAATAAAACAAAACTGAAGTATTAGTGGGACAAAAAATTTAATATTCTCTTAAACTATGCCCAGTGAAAACTTAACATATACTTTAAGAAGAGTAATGTATTCTTTTTTTTTAAGAGGTTTTTACCATAGGGCATGCGTGCTTACCAGAGAGTCAGAGACAGAGACAGTGAGAGAGAAAGTGAGAAATAACCTTCCTCCCCACCCCTCAGGGAGGATGGCCATGCTGTAACCCCTTCTTCCTCATTATTCTCCTGGGATCTTGGGCGCACACACACTCAACATGATTTTCAAACCACTGGGTCCAGGACTTAAACTGTAGCCGGATATGTGGGAGTCCAGTGACGTAACCACTACACCACCTGCTGGCCCCTAATGTATTTTTTTTTTTAATGTTTCCAATTGCTAGAGGGCACATGAGCTCACCACAGAGAGTAAGAGAGAAGGAGGAAGCATCCCCCACCTCCAATGAAGCATGGTCACACCACAATCTCTTTTTCATTTCTCTATGGTGTCAAGATTTTGGGCACACATATACATGGACCTGGTGTGTTTCCAAGCCACCTGGGTCTGGATTCAAGGTGCATGGTTGGCCATATGAGATCCAGCTCATTTAACCACTAGGCTAGGGGCTGGCCCAGAGGAAGACATGTTTATAATGTGACCTTCTTTTTAAGTTGCACCCACACTAACATGTTATAAGAAAGTATGGCCATGGGCCAGGCGGCCCTGGGGCACAGATTCATCAGAGCAGAGTGCTCCGAGGGCTGCGGGACACAGGGAAGGCGGCCAGCCTCACTCTGCTGCATCAGCTTACCCTCTCATCTGGCAGTTGCTCCTTGAGAACTGCACTACGCACCAAGGATGCGGGAAGAGAATGGTCCACAAACCCGAAGACTCATAGGTAAGCAGAGAGCAGATTTGTGCTAATCCTAATCCCTTCTTGCAAGGACATCTGTCATATTGGATTTACGCCTGCCCTAATGGCATCATTTTAACTTATTACTGCTTTTGAGGGTGGATAAACGCCTAGCTTAGAGCTGTCATGAAAACGTGGACCCAGGGCAATACATACACAAAGAAGGGCTGGTTGATTCTGTCTGAAGGAGAGTGGGTTACATACCCCCAGTGTCTGAGCTGGTCTGCTAGACAGAGAAGGAATGGAGAGTTTTCTTTTTTAAAAAAAATTATTTGTTTAATATTTATTTATTCATTTATTTTAATTTGACCAGAGAGAAACACACACAGAGAGAGAGAGAGAGGGAAAGTGAGAAAACAAGCCACCAGGTCCAGGACTCGAACCATGGTTGCCCATGTGGGAGTGTCCAGTGCATTAACCACCATGCCACCTGCTGGCCCCAGAAATGGGGACAGTTTTCAAGGGACAGTGGGGATGAGGCTATCTGATACAGAGGATGGGCATGAGGAAGACTCTCAATTTATTTACTAGGGTTGCTATAACAACATAGCACAGCCCGAGTGGTTTAAGCAATGAGAACCTAATTCTCATAATTCTGGAGGCCGGAAGTCCAAGATCAAGGTGCTGGCAGGTGAGTTTCCTGTGAGGCCTCCCACTTTGGCTTCCAGCCAGCTGCCTCTTGCTGCCTCTTCACAAGGTCCTCCCTTGGCGCACCTGTGCCTCTGGTGTCTCCATGTGTCCTAATCTCCTCTTCTTGCAAGGACACCAGTCTTATTGGATTTGTAACTTCCCCAATGGCATCATTTTCACTTATCACTTCTTTTTTTTTTTTTTTTGGAGAGGTTTTTCGCATTAGGGCGCATGCGCTCGCCAGACAGAGAGAGACATAGAGACAGAAAGTGAGAAATCACCCCCCAGGGGGGATGGTCATGCCGCAATCCCTTCTCCTCCATTCTCCTCTCAGGATCTTGGGCACGCACGCACATGTGCCCGGTGTGAGTTTTAAGCCACCAGGTCCGGGACGCGAACCGCGGTCGACTACGTGGGAGTCCAGCGACATAGCCATTACGCTAACTGCTGGTTCCCACTTACCACTTCTTTTGAGGCCCTGTCTCTAATACAGTCACATTCTGAGGTACTGGGGATCAGGACTTCAAGAAATGAATTTGAAGGGAACACAATTCAGCCCATAACAGACTCTAAAGAAATCGTTCTCCAGTATAATGGTGAGGATCTGATCATCTCCACTGCTGTTTCAGGGATAAGAGGTCTTCAAGGTCCAAATTATTTTTATACTACCAAGATGTTATTTGCCTTTTATTTTTTTTGAGAGAGTTTTTTTCCATAGGGCACATGAGCTCACTGGAGAGACAGAGAGACAGAAAGTGAGAAATCACCCCCAGGGGATGACCACACCACAATCCCTTCTCCTCCATTCTCCTCTCAGGATTTTGGGCACACATGAACATGCACCTGGTGTGAGTTTAAAGCTGCCAGATCCAGGACTTGAACCATGATCAGTCACGTGGGAGTCTAGCACCTTAACTATTACGTCATCTGCTGGCCCCGTGATGTTATTTGCCTTTTTCATTGTATTGACTATTTGTACCAATCCAGCAACAGCGATGGGAGGGACAATCACCAATCCCTTAACACAGGTCACAACAGTAGTACTGAATCGTTACTAGTAGCCATGCTGTTCTTCACCGCCATCCACAGTGAGTTTGTGTGTGTGTGTGTGTGTGTTTAACCCAGTTATTGTATGAATGTCCTTGATAAAGAGAGATAAACTATTAATTTTATTAAATCTCAGGCACTGAGCATGTCTTTGAATATTCTGTGTGGTGAAATGGAAAATATGCTTCAAGTGCTTCTGCCGTGTATACAGCCACCACAGTTATCTCAAGAAAAAGCATTTGAACAGTTGTTTGAGTTGCTAGCTGCACTGTTTTCTGCACGGAATACTTCTTTACTCGAAAGAATAACTTTCAACTATGATTATTTAGACTTGGCTATTTAACAGACATTTTCTTGAAAATAAGCCAAATGAGTTTGTCACTCCAGGGAAAAGCAACTTATGATATTTGTTTCTTTTGAGGTTTTATGCAAATATTAGAGTTTTACAAGTCTTGTGTCAGGCATGTGAAGCTTGGCGGCTTCCCAATACGTCAGGACGTCTCAGATGAGGTCAGGGGTGGTATGAATCAATACGGTTTTTTGATATTGTGTAATCAAATGGGTCAATATATAGAATATCTTCATAACTCACTGAATCAGTATTTTCCAAATGGCAATGCATGGTTTATAAAAAAAATCATGCATGGATGTGGATAAAAGAAGATCTATTCAAATTGCAGAATAGTCCTGTGGATTATATACCTGAGAAAGAAATTTTACTAATACAGTTTCAGATTCCATATAGCAACTATCCTTATGAAACTGCTACTTACCTACTTTGGAGAAGTTTCAAAGAATATCCACCATTATAAGAAAAGGCTATAAAAATTTTCCTCTCTCTTCCAAACCC